AACTAAGGCATACAATAAGGAAGAATGTAGCACATAATGTCATAGCAGAAACAATCCCTGAGAGCAGCGCAGATGAAAAGTCGCACACACATGAGCCAACAAGATTGGAAAACACACTTGACCTTATCTTCACAAATAATGAGGACCTGGTAAGAGACATAACAATATCAAAAACAACTAATTCCGATCACAATCTAATCGAAGTTCAGACTTGCATGTACAGGGGTCCTGATCAGCAAAATGCACGTAGCTGTGAAGGTGTCTTCACCAAATGCAACTTCAACAACATGAGCATCAACTGGGACCAGGTGAACCATGTTTTAAATGAAACATGTTGTTAGGTAAGACACATATGCAACAGTTAGGTACCTTTATTTCGAAACGTTTCGCCTACACAGTAGCCTTCTTCAGAATGAACATTAAAATGGTATAAAATACCGACAGATTGTTAGGTAAGACACACATGCAACAGTTAGGTATCTTTATTTCGAAACGTTTCGCCTACACAGTAGGCTTCTTCAGTCGAGTACAGAAAAGTTGATAAAAGCAGAAGATACTTGAAGACGATGTAATCAGTCCATCACCCTTAAAGTTTTGAGGTGGTCAGTCCCTCAGTCTGGAGAAGAGCATTGTTCCGTTGTCTGAAACAATATGAAGTTGAAGTGACAGGATGGAGACTTATATAGTGCCAGGAGGTGAGACGTAGGTTGCTTTGGGAGGGCAGGTCCCTCTCAAACCCAGCCGTTCTCACTAGTAGAGGTTGTCGAAGTTGATGGTCTGTACCAAGATACCCTTGTGTTGCAGTGTCTGACAGAATGAACATTAAAATGGTATAAAATACCGACAGATTGTTAGGTAAGACACATAAGCAACAGTTAGGTATCTTTATTTCGAAACGTTTCGCCTACACAGTAGGCTTCTTCAGTCGAGTACAGAAAAGTTGATAGAAGCAGAAGATACTTGAAGACGATGTAATCAGTCCATCACCCTTAAAGTTTTGAGGTGGTCAGTCCCTCAGTCTGGAGAAGAGCATTGTTCCGTTGTCTGAAACAATATGAAGTTGAAGTGACAGGATGGAGACTTATATAGTGCCAGGAGGTGAGACGTAGGTTGCTTTGGGAGGGCAGGTCCCTCTCAAACCCAGCCGTTCTCACTAGTAGAGGTTGTCGAAGTTGATGGTCTGTACCAAGATACCCTTGTGTTGCAGTGTCTGACAGAATGAACATTAAAATGGTATAAAATACCGACAGACTGAGGGACTGACCACCTCAAAACTTTAAGGGTGATGGACTGATTACATCGTCTTCAAGTATCTTCTGATTCTATCAACTTTTCTGTACTCGACTGAAGAAGCCTACTGTGTAGGCGAAACGTTTCGAAATAAAGATACCTAACTGTTGCATATGTGTCTTACCTAACAACCTGTCGGTATTTTATACCTTTTTAAATGAAACATGTTGGGAAGATATCTCAAATAACATGGATCCAATCCAATGCCTTGAAAGGATCAATTTCCTGGCAGCTGAAGTATGATCAAGGCATATTCCCCTAAGAAAGAACACCAGAAGAAGTAAACTGGAGAGAGAGAGATGCTCCCTCTACAGAAGACGACGAAGAATCACTGAGCTCTTCAAGAACGCTAGATTATCTAATGAAGAATTGCAACATATGGGAATCTTTATTTAAGAAACGTTTCGCCACACAGTGGCTTCATCAGTCCTATACTAAGCAGGAAGGTATAAGGAGAGGAGGAGTTTGAGGTAATCGGTCCCTCAGCCTGGAGTCTGTGTGTTCAGTCCATCACCCTTGTAGAAAGTATAACACAGGGCCGTAGCAGTGGTTTATATGCTGTAATCAGGTGAGGCGAAGCAGGAGGCGGCGGGGTCATAGTGGTATCATCCACTAGTCTAAGAAGGTCTTCGTCCGAAGGTTGGACAAATTTTGAAGAATTCTTTGTATCAATATCCCATGATGATGCAGTATCTGACAGATGTGATGAATGGTTTTGAAAGCCGACAAGTTGAAGAATTGAGACACCTATACAACATATGGGAATCTACAGCCTGTGGTGTACTTTCTACAAGACTGGTGGACTGAATACATCGACTCCAGGCTGAGGGACTGATTACCTCAAACTCCTCCTCTCCTTATTAGGTAAGACACATATGCAACAGTTAGGTATCTTTATTTCGAAACGTTTCGCCTACACAGTAGGCTTCTTCAGTCGAGTACAGAAAAGTTGATAGAAGCAGAAGAGACTTGAAGACGATGTAATCAGTCCATCACCCTTAAAGTTTTGAGGTGGTCAGTCCCTCACTCTGGAGAAGAGCATTGTTCCATAGTCTGAAACAATATGATGAAACCACTGTGTGGCGAAACGTTTCTTCAGTAAAGATTCTCATATGTTGCACAAGTGTCTCAATTCTTCAACTTGTCGGTTTTCAAAACAATTCGTCACACAGATTATCTGGTACACGTAAGAAAGCGTTGACCAGGGAAGTGGAAAGAATCGAATTTAAGTTAAAGGACTCATACAGGATCCAGGAGGAGCTAAAAGCGATTAGTAGAATTGAAAGAAATTCTAAATATTTCTTTCCATATGCAATAAACAAGGTAAATACTTCATCTAGTATCGAGCCCTTGCTCAGACAAGATGGGACTTATGCAGATGACAACAAAGAAATCAGTCAGACATTGAAATCCCAATACGACTCTGCGTTTAGCGAGCCACTAAATATGATTTTTCATAAGCCTCAAAACTTTATCAATGTATGCCAAATTTCTTACATTACCCTAACTCCAATAAACTTTGAGAAAGCCATTGACAACATGCCCATGCACTCAGCCCCAGGCTTGTGGAACTCTGTGTTCATTAAGAACTGCAAGAAACCCCTTTCGCGTACCCTAAATATACTATGGAGAAGGAGCTTAGACATAGGTGAAATTCCACAGTCACTAAAAACAACGGATATTGCCCCACTCCATAAAGCAGCAAAACATTAGCTAAGAACTATAGCTCTAACGTCCCACATCATAAAAATATTTGAGTGCTAAGAAGCATGACTGCGAACCACTTGGATTCCCAGTAACTGCACAATCCAGGGCAACATGGGTTCAGGGCAGGTCGCTCCTACCTCTCGCAACTACTAGATCACTATGATATGGTCTTGGATACACTGGAAGAAAATCAGAATGAAGATGTATTATACACAGACTTTGCAAAAGCCTTTGACAAGTGCGATCATGGCGTAATAGCCCACAAAATACGTGCTAAAGGAATAACTGGCAAAATGGGGAGATGGATCTTCAACTTCCTAACCAATCGAACACAAAAATTAGCGGTAAACAGAGTTAAATGAGAAGCTGCCATAGTGAAAAGCTCTGTTCCACAAGGCACAGCACTCGCCCCCATCCCGTTCCTCATCCTCATATCAGAGTTGTAATCCACAGAGATACTAGGATCTGCATGAGGCTGTCGTCTATTGAGGACACTGTTAACCTCCAAGAAAATATAAACCAAATTTTCCAATGAGCAACGGAAAACAGTATGATGTTCAATGAAGACAAATTCCAACTACTCCGTTATGGAAAACTGGAGGAAATAATAATTAGAATTGAGTATACTACAAACTCTAATCATACAATAGAGCGAAAAATTGTGAGGGACCTGAGAGTGGTACTGTCTGAGGATCTCACTTTCAAGGGTCACAAAAATGTCATGATCACAACTGCGAAGAAAATGATAGGATGGATAATGAAAACGTTCAAAACAGGAATATTGCTACACATTAATATCTCCGTTCAAAGCAGGTGAAATTGCAGATCTAGAGAGTGTACAGAGAACCTTTACTGCACGTATAAGTTTCATCAAACACCTTAACTACTGGGAACACTTGGAAGCACTTGACTTGTACTCGCTGGAACCCGGTTGAGAGATATAATCTGCACTTGGAAAATCCTAGAAGGAATGGCCCCTAATCTACACACAGAAATCACTCCCTACGAAAGTAAAAGACTGGGCAAGCGATGCAAAATACCCCCAATGAAAAGCAGGGGCGCAATTGGTACACTAAGAGAAAATACACTAAGAGTCCGGGGCCCAAGACTGTTCAACAGCCTCCCACCAGGCATAAGGGGAATTACCAATAGACCCCTGGCTGTCTTCAAGAGGGAGCTGGACAGATACTTAAAGTCGGTGCCGGATCAGCCGGGCTGTGCGTTAGACTACGTGCGTCCAGCAGTAACAGACTGATTGATCAGGCCCTGATCCGCTGGGAGGCCTGGTCGTGGACCGAGCCGCGGAGGCGTTGATCCCCAGAAAAGTCTCCAGGTAGCCATTTATTGCCGTGAAATGTTATCTGATTCGTTAGAGTACTTCACTGCACCTGAGTCAGGCTTAGGATAAGTCGTCCTAATTAACTAGGCTGTTAAGTGATCTGCACAACTGGGCAGCTCTTGGTCACCGGCTTCACTTGCGCCTAAGGTTTTTTTTTTTTTTTTTTTTTTGTGACTGCCAGGTAGGCAGGAGTTGGCCGCTCCACTAGGCAGTGGCACTCGTGGCTGGTTGGAACAAGTGCCTACTGTTCACAATTGTGTAGGCTGTGAGAGGTTGTAGATACTAAGCTAGATTACTCTAAGTTTAACGCTAACCTAACTTAATTACGTATACAGTAGAAGTGCATAATACATTAACCTATGGAGGCTCAAGTACTAGATTATTCTTACAAATTAGGAGTGTATAAAGAAATGTGGCACCACTTATAGGCAGAAGTGGGTCTGCTAGTCACCCCCTCCTTCCCTTCCACTTAGCGAGGTTTTTAACCTCTCGGGAAATCAAAAGCTGCATGAATTTTCCCACAGCTATACAGTAAATTAACTTTCAACACTATACAGAACATTAACTTCGAAAACTATACAGTAAGTTAACTTTTAGCACTATACAGTAAGTTTACTTTCAACATTATACAGTAAGTTAACCTTCACTTGTACTGTCACTACAGGTGTCAGTGGGAAGGAAGCGCGAGACCTCATTCAGGACGGGAAAGTGAACCGTCAGCCTCGTGAGTGTCCAGACGACGTGTACAGCGTTATGACAGCCTGCTGGAAAATGAACCCACACGAGCGACCGTCTTTCATCGAACTCAGAACTATGGTCAACACAATCAAGGAGCGAGTGCGCGCTTTCTAGCAAGAACATCTTGATCTCTGAAGCAACGTCAACCATCCCTCGTCGGTTACCGTACCTCTGACCGACAACTGTATTTCGTGATTATCGAATTACTATTCCATTCAAGGGGATGCCCTGATGCTGGAGAAAGGGTCTCTATCTAAGGAAAAGGAATTGGAATTACCTTCCCCTTCCTTGATTACTTCTCATTCCCCAGGCCCTGTATTACTCATTGTATTAGTCACTATTCCAAATCAATATGGAACACAAGGGTTAGAACCCAGACAGCAGGTCTATGAGTGAGGTCATAGATACAATATCTAATATCTTAGGCAATATCTCCGGAAACATGTATACATTTCTGTTATCTTGTGGCTTAGTTAACTGGCAGACTTTTTTTTTTATAGTGGTGGGTTGGTACATGACAGTACAAGTAAAATAAATATAAATAGGTCGATGTATGATAGAGAAGTGTTACCGCTTTTAAGTAATCCATGAACTAAATATATTAAACTGAGATACAGATCTCAGCGTGGCTGAGACAATGATTACCTCAATTTCCTCCTCGTCTTCCAACTTTCTCTGCATGGGACTGAAGAAGCCACTGGCTGGCGAAACGTTTCGAGGATAAAGATACCCAAATATTGGAGAAATGTCTCCTACTCCGAGGAAGTGACCCAGCAATGTCACCACTCTCTCATTCATCACCTCAACAACTTCCCGTACATAACTGCGTGCTGCATGTGTCATGTATTGATAAGCTTGTCACTAAACGAAGTGCTATTTCTAAATAAATGTTTTGTCTGCACTTAGTGTCTTAACAGTGACCACGATACAACACACTTCTAGAGAGAAGCTGACTGTAATCAACTACGTAGAGGTTAGGTAAGTTTTGTCAGAAAACAGGACAAGTGTTGCCTGATGTGGGTCTTAGATGATGACCCGCCGCGCCGTTTGAACTTCTGGTCATCTGACCGAGGCCTTCATCTGGCTTACCGGTCCACCCCTTTAAAAAATATAGTTATATTCATTACCATTTAGTTCAAATGTGTAAAGATATTAATGAAGGTAACTGTGTTGAACTGTATCGAGCTAGCTGCTCCAGTGGTAAGCGCACTGACCAAGGAATTTTCAGGCTCTCCTGCCATGGGTTCGATCCCCAACCCGTCTTGTCATTTATCGAGAATAAATTAGCATGCAAAAAATATAGCGTTAAAGAGAGAATTAAACTATCTTGTGTGACCCAAACGTTCACTTCTGTGTTTACAAACACAGGTTTGTATAACACTAAAAATTACCTAAAAACCGAGATTAGAGAGAGAGAGAGAGAGAGAGAGAGAAAGAGAAAGAGAAAGAGAGAGAGAGAGAGAGAGAGAGAAAGAGAAGAGAGAGAGAGAGAGAGAGAGAGAGAGAAAGAGGAAAGAGAAAGAGAGAGAGAGAGAGAGAGAGAGAGAGAGAGAGAGAGAGAGAGAGAGAGAGAGAGAGAGAGAAGGTGAGAGAGGAGAGAGAGAGAGAGAGAGAGAGAGAATGGTTGCAAGTAGTAAACATGACATGGAATTAAAATAACTTGTAACATTAACAACAATGGCTCGACCTTTAATAGACGTTGAAGGCCAAACGAAAAAAAGCACCAGCGTCACAACATCGGGGTCACAACGCCAGCGTCACAGCATTGGGGTCATACCATCGTCATATCGGGGTCACAACGCCAGCGTCACAACATCGGGGTCACAACGCCAGCGTCACAGCATTGGGGTCACATCCCCAGCGTCACAACATCGGGGTCACAACGCCAGCGTCACAGCATTGGGGTCACATCCCCAGGGTCACAACATCGGGGTCACAACGCCAGCGTCACAGCATTGGGGTCACAACACCATCGTCACAGCATTGGGGTCACATCCCCAGCGTCACAACATCGGGGTCACAACGCCAGCGTCACAGCATTGGGATCACAACGCCAGCGTCACAACATTGGGGTCACAACGCCAGCGTCACAACATCGGGGTCACAACGCCAGCGTCACAGCATTGGGGTCACAACGCCAGCGTCACAACATCGGGGTCACAACGCCAGCGTCACAGCATTGGGGTCACAACGCCAGCGTCACAACATCGGGGTCACAACGCCAGCGTCACAGCATTGGGGTCACAACGCCAGCGTCACAACATCGGGGTCACAACGCCAGCGTCACAACATCGAGGTCACAACGCCATCGTCACATCGGGGTCACAACGCCAGCGTCACAGCATTGGGGTCATACCATCGTCATATCGGGGTCACAACGCCAGCGTCACAGCATTGAGGTTACACCACTATCGTCACAACATCAGGGTCACACCGCCAGCGTCACAGCATTGGAGTCAACACCATCGTCACAACACTGGGGTCACAGCGCCAGCGTCACAGCATTGGGGTCACAAGACTATCGTCACAACATCGGGGTCACAACGCCAGCGTCACAACATCGAGGTCACAACGCCATCGTCACATCGGGGTCACAACGCCAGCGTCACAGCATTGGGGTCACACCATCGTCATATCGGGGTCACAACGCCAGCGTCACAGCATTGGGGTTACACCACCATCGTCACAACATCAGGGTCACACCGCCAGCGTCACAGCATTGGGGTCACAACGCCAGCGTCACAGCATCGGGGTCACTACGCCAGCGTCACAGCATCGGGGTCACAACACCATCGTCGCAGCATCGGGGTCACAACGCCAGCGTCACAGCATCGAGGTCAACGCCAGCGTCACAGCGTCGGAGTCACAACGCCAGCGTCACAGCATCGGAGTCACAACGCCAGCGTGACAGCGTCGGGGTCACAACGCCAGCGTCAGAGTCACAACGTCAGCGTCACAGCATGGGAGTCACAATGCCAGCGTCACAGCACTGGGGTCACAACAGCGTCACAGCACTTGGGTCAACACCGGCGTCACAGCACTGGGGTCACAACACCAGCGTCACAACACTGGGGTCACAACACCAGCGTCACAACACTGGGGTCACAACACCAGCGTCACAGCACAGGGGTCACAGCACCAGCGTCAGAGCACAGGGCTTACACCAGCCTCACAGCATCGGGGTCATACCAGCGTCACAGCACAGGGGTCACGAACACCAGCGTCACAGCACTGAGGTCACACAAGCGTCACAGCACTGGGGTCACCAGCGTCACAGCACTGGGGGTCACACCAGCGTCACAGCACTGGGGGTCACACCAGCGTCACAGCACTGGGGGTCACACCAGCGTCACAGCACTGGGGGTCACACCAGCGTCACAGCACTGGGGTCACGGCGTCACAGCACAGGGGTCACAACACGAGCGTCACAGCACAGGGGTCACAACACGAGCGTCACAGCATCGGGGGCATACCAGCGTCACAACACAGGGGTCACAACACCAGCGTAACAGCACTGGGGTCACACCAGCGTCACAGCACAGTGGTCACAACACCAGCGTCACAGCACTGGGGTCACAACACCAACGTCACAGCACTGGGGTCACAACAACGTCACAGCACTGGGGTCACAAGCGTCACAGCAATGGGGTCACAACACCGTCACAGCACTGGGGTCACACCAGCGTCACAGCACAGTGGTCACAACACCAGCGTCACAACACTAGTGTCACAATGCTGCATCAGGGTCACAACACCAATGCGTCAGCATAGAGGTCATAGTACCAGCGTCACATCACCGGGGTCACAATAGTGCTACATCAGGGTCACAACAGTGCCACAGCACCGAGGTCACAGTGTCAGCGCTACAAAAGAATGGTCACAGCATCTGCGTCAAAACACAGGGGTCACATTACCAGCGTCACAGCTCCTAAGAACAGGGGTCAAAGTTCTGGTGTCACCGAGCAACAAGGGGTCACAACACTGGAGTCACACTAGAGTCACAACACTGAGGTCAAACCAGGGTCAAAACACTGGGGACACAGTAACAAAGATCATAACACGGGTCACACCAGGGTCACGAGTCACCATTGAGGTCACAAAAGGGTCACAATACCGGGATCACACAGGGGTCACAAGTGAAGCCATAATGAAGTAACCTAATTTATTATTTCCTGTTTCCTGGGAACAATTTACCCTAACACCTGCCCGTAACGCTTCAGTGTTACCTAACACCTGCCCGTAACGCTTCAGTGTTACCTAACACCTGCCCGTAACGCTTCAGTGTTACGTAACACCTGCCCGTAACGCTTCAGTGTTACCTAACACCTGCCCGTAACGCTTCAGTGTTACCTAACACCTGCCCGTAACGCTTCAGTGTTACCTAACACCTGCCCGTAACGCTTCAGTGTTACCTAACACCTGCCCGTAACGCTTCAGTGTTACCTAACACCTGCCCGTAACGCTTCAGTGTTACCTAACACCTGCCCGTAACGCTTCAGTGTTACCTAACACCTGCCCGTAACGCTTCAGTGTTACCTAACACCTGCCGTAACGCTTCAGTGTTACCTAACACCTGCCCGTAACGCTTCAGTGTTACCTAACACCTGCCCGTAACGCTTCAGTGTTTACCTAACACCTGCCCGTAACGCTTCAGTGTTACCTAACACCTGCCCGTAACGCTTCAGTGTTACCTAACACCTGCCCGTAACGCTTCAGTGTTACCTAACACCTGCCCGTAACGCTTCAGTGTTACCTAACACCTGCCCGTAACGCTTCAGTGTTACCTAACACCTGCCCGTAACGCTTCAGTGTTACCTAACACCTGCCCGTAACGCTTCAGTGTTACCTAACACCTGCCCGTAACGCTTCAGTGTTACCTAACACCTGCCCGTAACGCTTCAGTGTTACCTAACACCTGCCCGTAACGCTTCAGTGTTACCTAACACCTGCCCGTAACGCTTCAGTGTTACCTAACACCTGCCCGTAACGCTTCAGTGTTACCTAACACCTGCCCGTAACGCTTCAGTGTTACCTAACACCTGCCCGTAACGCTTCAGTGTTACCTAACACCTGCCCGTAACGCTTCAGTGTTACCTAACACCTGCCCGTAACGCTTCAGTGTTACCTAACACCTGCCCGTAACGCTTCAGTGTTACCTAACACCTGCCCGTAACGCTTCAGTGTTACCTAACACCTGCCCGTAACGCTTCAGTGTTACCTAACACCTGCCCGTAACGCTTCAGTGTTACCTAACACCTGCCCGTAACGCTTCAGTGTTACCTAACACCTGCCCGTAACGCTTCAGTGTTACCTAACACCTGCCCGTAACGCTTCAGTGTTACCTAACACCTGCCCGTAACGCTTCAGTGTTACCTAACACCTGCCTGTAACGCTTCAGTGTTACCTAACACCTGCCCGTAACGCTTCAGTGTTTACCTAACACCTGCCCGTAACGCTTCAGTGTTACCTAACACCTGCCCGTAACGCTTCAGTGTTACCTAACACCTGCCCGTAACGCTTCAGTGTCACCTAACACCTGCCCGTAACGCTTCAGTGTCACCTAACACCTGCCCGTAACGCTTCAGTGTCACCTAACACCTGCCCGTAATGCTTCAGTGTCACCTAACACCTGCCCGTAACGCTTCAGTGTCACCTAACACCTGCCCGTAACGCTTCAGTGTCACCTAACACCTGCCCGTAACGCTTCAGTGTCACCTAACACCTGCCCGTAACGCTTCAGGGTCACCTAACACCTGCCCGTAACGCTTCAGTGTCACCTAACACCTGCCCGTAATGCTTCAGTGTCACCTAACACCTGCCCGTAACGCTTCAGTGCTACCTAACACCTGCCTGTAACGCTTCAGTGCTACCTAACACCTGCCTGCAACGCTAAAATGTTAC